CACACACACACACACACACACACACACACCCCTTTTAAATACACAGGCTATAAAGGAATCTTCTGTTTCTAAATCTTATCCAGGTTTTGAGGCCCAGCAGAGATGTCCCCTCCTCAATAAGAGGTTCAAGTGGAAAAAAAAGAGAAAAAAAAGAGGTTCAAGTGATGTGTCAAGTGCCACTAGTGTCTATTTCTGGAGGTCAGGGACCTGGGGGTCTAATTTACTTTAATGTCTTTACAACTCAGCACAGGGCCCAGCCTAGGGTAGGGAGGCAGACCACCATGTCCCTGCAGGACTGGTATAGAAGCAGGAGGTTCGAACAATGTAGGGAGAAGAATGGACAGAGAGTAAGGGATCAAGAGTCGTGGATTAGGAAACTGAAGATGGGAGGTCAGCCATTTTCAACGCCACAGGCAGCAAAACAGCCCACTTCCACTGAAAGCAGAGCATTCCCATGTAGCTATCAAGTACCACTTTGCAAATAATATTCCACATAAATCACACCCAGCATTCTTCTAATTAAAAGCCATGCTTGGCATGTATGCCGTGAGTGTGAGCTTTTGGACACCCCCACTCTGCCCTGAAGGGACCGTCAGAACCATTGCCGGCCTGTCACCGAGGCCTTATCTTCAATAGTTTCATCAGTCACTCTGCCTTCTTTAGTCACTGGTAAACTCAGTAGGTTTTAAATGACGCATGTACTGTCCTTGGTGTCTGTGCTTAAATGCATTAAAACTGACTAAACAAAGTGAATCCTCTTCCTTCCTCTATGAGTTAGAGATTGTGGCATTTAGACAGGAAGAAAAACTATTCGAGTGTTCTTCTGTCACAGAGGGGCAGGATGCTGCTGAGGGGAGTACAGGCCTTCCATGCTGGCATGCACAAGTCGAATGGATTCTATGACAGTCCTGAGGGGAGGGGGGTAGCAAACGAGACCAAGGGCTCAATGGCAAAACACCAAAACCAGTCCCTTCTTCCCACCCTCAACCACTCACCTTGATTTAGGAAGTTAATTGCTTTCATGCAGGCATACTCCTCATTGCTGACCTTTAGCTGATGGAACTTGTGATACAGGTAGATGAGCCGCTCAATCACCTCCATCCCCTCATCACTAAATCTGGGGAATGAACACAGCTGTTAATAGTGGGCTATGATGCCAGTGGGAGCCAGAAAAAGGCCGACAGAGGGCTTCCAAGTTAGGAAAGGCGCTGAGGCTGAGAAGAGTAGAGTCCGGAGCCATTTGTGAAGCACAGAAAGATCCATGGTTTGTCTATACAAGTTGTAGTTCCCAAGGTCAGGTGGAGTCCATCAAAGGTTGGCATAAATCCAGCTCCATCACTTATAAGCTGTGAAACCTTGGGGAGGTCCTTTGACCCCTTTCAGTTTTGGGGTCTGCATCTGTAGAATGAGAGTGATAACACTTGCTTGGCTCGGGTCATAGGGCCAAAGGAAGCATGGGATATGAATGTGAATTACAGCTATTAAAACACTGCTGTTGTTGAGATGCAGCCTCCAGCATGGACGGCTGCTGCCAGGGGGGACTTTGACATCTGTGATCCTCAGCCACCGTATGGAGAAAGCTGCTAACTGCGTGATTTAGGTTTACCATTTCCAGCAGAGATGAAGCTTATACACAAGTGAAAGTTGATTCTGGTATTTCCGAATTCAGTTCTAGAAGGAGGAAAACTGAGTCACCCTACCTCTGTGCTGGACACATTATATGGATTACTTCATTTAATTCTCTAAACTCAATGAGCTAGGTGACATTACCATCATTTTTTAGAAAAGAAATTGACATTACAACAAAGGAGGGAAACGATCCTGAACTTTACAGCTAGTCTGTGGCGGAGTGAAACCTGGGCTAACTCCTCAGGCCTTGATTTTCTCCATAGCTGGCACCCTGCCGGAGCAGGGAGGTGGCAGGGGAGGGTAACAGCTGTCGATGGCATTTTCTGAGGATTAGCAGTGGGCTCCTTGCGAGGAGGACCACGTTTTCAGAAAAGAGCCCCAAGTTATACCACTCCAGAGACCTAACATTCTGGGTTATGATGGTAAATGTTGCACACCAGGGATAGATACCACCAAATCAAGGAAATAAAGTGCAGAGAAGCCAAGTGTGTAAGTTTGCCAACAATGAGATCAGGCTTGGTATTGGCAGTGGGCCAAGGAGAGGTCCAAGGGGCCTTATATACAACTTGGTGACAGAGGGAAGATGCTCAGCCCCAGGGATGTTTTTTGGTGACACATTCAGATCTCGGTGCTAACAGTCCACTGCCAGGCAAGGAGACCCTATCTTGATGGGGGCTCAGAACACCTGGAGAGATACTTAATGATATTTTCTGTGATGACTGTGAAGCAGTGGTTCTCAACCTGTCAGTCGAGACCCCTTTCACAAGGGTTGGATTCATAACAGTAGCAAAATTACAGTTATGAAGTAGCAACAAAAAGAATTTTATTGCTGGGGATCACCACAACATGAGGTACTGTATTAAAGATTGAGAACCACTGATATAGGGTCTCTAGGAGTCAGAACCGACTTGAATAAAGGCTGTGAGCTTGGTTGGGTTTATAGTTAGGGCCAGAGGCATATGCATTTCTTAAACACCAGGGGGAGCCACAGCAGCAGCTCAGTGCAATGTGGAGCTGTCTGATCCTCTGCTTCACAGCATGGCTTGTGCCTGGGTTTCTTTAAGACCTGCTGATTTGAACTCTACTGGCAGTCAGTTTCTCTTGATGGTTAGCCCCAGAATCTTAACTTTATTAATACATTCCCAGACTGGCTGGGCAAATTCATATTGCATCACCACTATTAACAACAGTCTACCATTTGTTGAGTGTTTGCTACTTACCAGGCAATTTAAAAATTCCATATGTGATCTCATTGGATGGATTCAACCCACTGAATGGATGGAAACGCAAAGAGGTTATTTACTGTGGATTGTGTGTTAGGCAGTGTGTTAGGCACTGGGGTGCAAGGTCAGTGGTTCAAACCCATCAGCAACTTCGTGGGAGAAAAATGAGGTTGTCTGGTCCTATAAAGATTTAGTCTTGGAAAGCTATATATGAGGGGGTATCAAAAAAAAAAAAAAAAACATGGGAAAAGCTCCGCTGGGCATAACACATTAACGCTGGGTAGTACACATTTTTCCTGCTAGGCCAGTATTGAGCAACTTGCTCTGTGTTAGTGCACCCAGTGGCATCACCTGGGAAGGTTTTTCTCTGGTCACAGTGAATTTTTTCGTAAAAGCAGTTTCACTCCAACCTCATTTTTTGTGATGGCTGATTTAAGAGAACAGCGAGCAGCTGTGAAATGCTGGTTCCTGTTCTGGAAAAATACCACAAAAAGGGCAGCACTATGTGAAAAACTCAAGTGTATGTGTGGTTTTCTTGTTTCAAAAATGGTAAAATGTCAATTGATGACAAACTTTGTTCTGGACGTCCACATCAACTTTCTAAACAAATAAAAATGTCGACTCATAGTGTATTTGGAGTTCATTCCACCAGGTCAGACTGTTAATCAAGCTATTTAGAGGTTCTAAAAAGTTTATTGAACAGTATATGACCAAAAAGAAGGCCCGATTTGTGGCAGACTGGGGACTGGTTTTGCCACCATGACCATACACCTGCTATGCAGCAATCTCAGCACAGCAGTTTTTGGCAAAAAAAACCCAGCATGCCTCTTTTGCCCCACACACCTTACTCACCTGACCTCACTCCATCCTACATTTTTGCTTCTGTGAATTAGGGACATGAAAAGACAGCGACTTGCTGACATAGAAGAGGTGAAGAGGGAGGGGGAGTGGGGAGGGGAGGGGAAAAAATGAGCTGATGCCAGGGGCTTAAGTGGAGAGCAAATGTTTTGAAAATGATGAGGGCAATGAATGTACAAATGTGCTTTACACAATTGATGTATGTATGGATTGTGATAAGAGTTGTATGAGACCCTAATAAAATGATTTAAAAATAAATATATATAAAAAGAAGAGGTGAAGAAAATCAATGAGGGAGGTGCTGTCAGCCCTCCAAACAAATGAGTTTGAGAAATGTTTCCAAGAATGGAATTGCAGATTTGACAAATATATTAGGTGTAATGGATAGTACTTTGAAGGTGATGAGGTGGTTTTGTAAACAAAATTGAAAGACATAGCTTTGGAAAAAAGATAAAAATAAAATTCCGTTTTTTGGGGGGTATCCCTTGTTGGTCGCTGAGTCAGAATCAACTGCATGGCAGTAGGTTTTGTTGTTCTTGACTATCTATTAGCCCTTTCATGTGTATTCATAACCTGATGAGATGAATACTATCACCATTCATATTATAGCTGTGGAAGCAGATGATGTGACTTTCTGAGTTATAGTGATGGGGCCAAGGTTCAAACTCTATTTTTCTAACTCTAACCCAGGTGTCCTCAAACTACGGCCCGCAGGCCACATGCGGCCTGCCGAGGACATTTATCTGGCCAGCTGGGTGTTTTTGCCCCATTTGTTTTTTTACTTCAGAATAAGATATGTGCAGTGTACATAGGATTTTGTTCATAGTGGTTTTTTTAAACTATAGTCCGGCCCTCCAACGGGTCTGAGGGACAGTGAACTGGCCCCCTAGCCCATCCCTTTTCTCAGCACAACGCTGTTCCCCTTTGACTCTGTTTTGGATTAACTGGTAACTGGAAAAGGGGACCTCAGAAGTTCCATAGCCACTCAAGACAGGCCCCGGCTCATAGTGGGTGGTGGGTTTTCAGTGCTTGACAGGAGACCATGTGCCGGGAGTGAAGACCACACCTCATTAGGGTACTTTATGGCTACTTCTGTTCTTGAGGGGGCAAAACAAGTATTTATTTATTTCAAATGCCTGCTCATGTTTGGTGGGTATGTAAGGTAGAGACAGGAAGGGGGTAGGGCATAAAAAAAAAAGAGACTGCTAAGGGAGAAGCAGTGTTAGCATCTGTCTGGTGGTTGAGCAGTGTAGCAAGCAAAGATAACACTCTGTCCCTTAATCATCAACCTCTTGCCCCAAGTGCTCACTCTGGCACCACAAAACATGCAGGTGTGTGGCTATCAGCCAGATCCTAAGCCAGAAGTGCCAATGCTGTTCCTGGCCAAATCTTCACCAGCGATACCCAAAGGAACTTCCAAGTGCTTAGCCAGAGAACAGACTCTAGGTGTACCCTTTGTCATGGGCACAGACCATGCCCCTCCCCCTCAAATTTCCCAGGACATGCAACCATCATGGCACCCAGAAGTGGTAATGGGCTGGCAGTCAGCCAGCAACCCCCACTCAGCCTCCAACAGCCTGACTGCAGAGCTTCCCTCCACAGCCCGCATCCCACCCCTTGATAAACAAAGTTGTCCTCTGTTCTATGGGCCCGTTTTTTTCTACAGCCGAGCCTCCTCCACACCTGCCCACTCCACAGCTCTGACGCCCCTGTATTCCCTGTCTACAAATTATCAGTACGCAAGCCAGAACGCTGGACAAACACACCCATTCTTCTTCTAGAATCTCATTATACAAACATGCTAGGACAAGGAAAACATTCCGGTCAGGATCCCCAAACCAGTGGACCATTCAGTTCAAATTTGAAGTTGAACTCTGTAAGTTATGCCCCATTAAGGGCACTAAGAACTCCGGTTCTCATTCATCTAAATGCACCACTTGCTGGAGTAGTCATCAGTTGCGATCAGAAAGGAACTGCCCTCTCAGCACCCATATTACAGACTCCAAGTCAGACTTCAGTTCCAGGGCCAATTTCAGAAAGTCAAACTACTAGAGAAGGTTCTAGTATGGTAATAGTGGAATCCCTGGGTGGTTGGTGCACCTGGTTGGTGTGCTGGGCTGTTAACCAAAAGGTTGGAGGTTTGAGTCCACCCGAGGTTACCTTAGGAGAAAGGTTTGGCGACCTAGTTTTGAAAAATCAGCAATTGAAATTATGGGGCACAGTTCTACTCTAACACACATGGGGTCAGCATCAGCCAGAATTGACTTGACAGCAATCAGTACAGAGAGTGATGGCAAAGAGCCTGGGCTTTAGAGCACAACAGACTCTGGTGAAAAATCTTAACTCCACTTTTTTCTAGCTTTGTAGCCTTGAATTTCTAGTTCTCTGAACCTCATTTTCCTCATCT